GCCCCTTGTCCTGTCACTGGGCACTACTGAAAAGAGACTGGCTCCATCCTCCTGACAGCCACCCTTCAGATATTTATAGACAGTGATAAGGTCCCCTCTCAGCCTTCTCCAGACTAAAAACTTTGTGTAGCTAAAAGTTTCCTTCCTGATTAAGAGCAACATTAGTTTTTTTTTTTTATATTTTCACATGATTCTGCAAAGATGCCATAAAAGTGAAGTTTTGTTCCCTTCATTCAGTTAAGTTAGAACTAGACTGCGTGTGCTGACTAAATTAAGGACGATTCAGTAGTTAAGCTGCACTATCCTTGAAATCAGAAGTGCTGTTCCTTGCTCTGTCACTGGCTTCCTGTGCTAATGCAGGAACAAATCAGTGTCATTTCAGTGGCAGTACAGATTCTGTTGTGGCTGTGGTCATGCTGTTCTGTTTCTTGTCGTTCTTTAGTCATGCTGTACTGTTCCTTGCAGTCATGCACTTGATATGCAAAGCAGCCTCCCTGCAGTGGACTTTCATCCTGAGACTCAGCATGCAGTGTAATACTAACAGTATTCCTGGTGCTTAGCTGTTCATGATCTCTCGTATCAGTTGTTAGGTGCAAGGATTTGAGCTGACCTGTTTAACGAACTGAAATGACTGGAGTGCTTGTATCTGAGAAGGTTAAAAAATTGCAGATGTACATATTACAAAAGATTGTCAGATTGTCTTGGTTACTGATATAATTGATTGGAAAGACTATGATTTAACTAGTATATGTATTTTTCTTACTGGTTATGGCTGAGTGTCTCCACTGAATAATTGTGGTCCTTTTAATTTCAGAGTATGTTACTACTTCCAGCTAAATATTGTCTAATTGCTGTTTAAGTAATAAATTGGAAAGAAATACTCTGTCCTTTTTTGTCTTTGGCCATTCTTCTGTCAGTCTTCAGAAAATTTTTTTTTTATTCATGCTTCATTCACAAATTCAGGAGTTCATAGCAAGTAGCAGCTGTAAATTGACTTTGGTGATGTTTCTAGTTGTTCCATTTGTTCAAAAGGTTGAAAAGCTTATTTCTTTGCACAAATTATTTTGTGAGGCAGACATGATTTCATGAAAACTTATCAGTGTTTATCACTACTAATGGTGTATCTGTTAGCTTTTCCAAGAGAAGCAGGGACAATTGTTTAGGATTAATATGTATATCTTCATCTTGAGAGTAACTACAGAATGCTTTATTATGAAATAACTAATGCAAATGGTAACTCTGGGTTTTGAAGTATGGCTTGAGTTTTATTGCAAGTCCACTGCTACTGTAATTAGCATTGGTCAGAATTAGTAGCAAGAAAACTGTGGATGTCCTATAATCTGTGTTCTGCACATTCCTATTGCATAATAATGTCTTGAACAACACATAGTCAAACCATAATAATTTATTTTTATCTCAGTATAAATCTGTTTAAGCTGTTATGGATGAGAAGACATTTTAATTGCCCATCTAAAAGAAAAAAATGATAGAAAATTATTTCCAAGGCAGAAAGTCCAGCTCAAGAAATAAAATGTTCACTGTACTTACCTTCAAATGTATAATAATTTGCAATAATATAATAAAAATTTACTGTTCCTAAGGAGTGTCTCTTTTTACTAGGAAGCTTTAATCCACTGCATAGACCATCTACTTAGGTTGATTAGCAGAAAGTATTAATAGATTTTTATCTTCAATGTAAAAAGTAAAATGAGAGATGGCCAAATGAGAGATTTCCATCATCAGGACTCTGATCAGCACTGAGGACTTGTTCTCCAGCCTCCTCTTTCCTGTCTCCTTTCCCAACCTATTTCTTTCTTTGTTCCTCAGGCTGCTTGTCACAGTCAGCTCTACTCACATTGCAGGTTCAAGTTTGTTCTTTGTCTGTTCATGTTTAGCAAATTCTTCTTCCATGCTTGGATGACCCAGTGGGTGGCTCCTTTAGAATACAGGAAAAAAATGTTCCTTGCTCACATCTCTGGTACCTAGCAGGCTCAAGCTCTGTGTTAGCAGTTTAAAAGCCTAAATCTTTACTGACTGTCTGGGCTGTAAATCTTTGAAGCCTGGTAAGTTGGAGAAAATTTGTGTTCTTACAGGGTTGGCAACCTCTTAAGCAGAAGTTCTATTCTGCTATCTTTCAAGTCTCTGTCCCAGGACATAAAAAAAAAAAAACACAAATTTTTACCTAAGGAACTGCTAAACCATGGAATACAACATGAGACAGAACAAAAGCAATGAGCCTATAGCTGTAATTTGACAGAGTAACAAGCTCTGGGTTCTACAATGGGAAGATGAGGGATAGTCTTTGTGTCAGCAGTCCTTACTTGTAATGTGTCATAATGAGAGATTTACCAAGGTTGTGATCTGTTATTTCAATGTTACAGGTTCATGAAAGCTTTAAGTTACGCTTCATTAGATAAAGAAGATTTATTAAGTCCTATTAACCAAAACACGCTTCAGCGTTCCTCCTCTGTTCGCTCCATGGTTTCTAATGCTACATATGGTAGCTCTGATGATTACATTGGCCTTGCTCTCCCAGTGGATATCAATGAAATATTTCAGGTATGTATGTGATAACTTAATGGGTTCATTTGCATTTTCATACTGGAAGGTAGTTAACTGTTGCATTATCATCAGAATAGATTAGATCTACAGAAATGAGGAAAACAGGATGTGGTACTTTCAAGGAACGTGCTTTGGAGTTAGGGTTACTTTTTTTTTTTTAGAGTTACTTTTCTAACCCTGTTTACAGAATAGTGCTAGTCTATTTTGTATTTTGCAAATAATGACACAGACTAGGTTAGAAGTATGTTAAACAGTGGTAGCATACATATACTGTCATAAGATTCTTAGTTGATGGCTAGCTTTTATACTAAAATTAGCATAGTCTGTGGACATTTGTTAATATCTCTTTAGCCAACTAATTGATATGTTCATTGGTCAACCATAAATGATGTGCATAATCCCATGGTAAACTTCCTGCTACTATGACTTCTGCTACCGTGATCTTGATTTAATATAACTTTATTTGTACATCTATCATCATAGCATTAAATTGTATTGTCTTTACTTAACCTCACAGATATATTTCTTTAAGTTAAAACAGATTATCTTAATTGTCTTATCAGTTGCCTTCCTCTCTCTACTTAGTTAAAACACATTCCCATCTAACAAACTGATGCATCACAATGTTTAGTATTCTGTTACCTAATTATCAAAAACAGGACATGGTCTATGTCAAAGGTAAATCAGTGGCTTCCTTGTCTTTAGTTTACTTGGTCTTTGCCTTTCAAACCTAAATTCCTTTCTTACTAATCTCAAAAAATTACTAAAGCTAGAGCTAAAGGCAAGGTTTTTCATCATACCTGCTTCTATTTCCCTTCTATGAAATGATTATTTTATTTCTCCTCCATAGTCTTTATGGTATGTTTATGTTGCCTCACTTCTCTCAACACTTTTTGTAGAGTTGAGACACTTCTCGATTCTGCAACATCTTACAGGCAACATTTTAGATGTCCTGGGTGGTTTTGCTCTACTTTCCTGAGGTCTCCAGTGGTGTAGAGTGATCATGGACAAATCATTAATAGCCACTTTTGGGTCACTGGTTTCCTTACAGCCTGTCACCACTATGTTTTACCATTTACTGACTGTTCATAAGCCTTGCTTAATAAATGTTCATTCACAAATGTATGTTTTTCTCATTGGCTTTTCTTTACTACTCAGGAACCCATTCTTAATTTCTTCCTCCAATTAGATCTTTTTCCTGAAGTAAAAAATTGACAACATTTTATTTCCTCATAAAAAATATCTGTTTTTCCTTTGTATATAATTATCACCTGTGCTAATTTTAACTTTCACTTGAATATTCCAGGTAAAGGAAACTCCATATTTCCAGAAGAAAACCATACTTCCATTTGATGACCGTGGAGCTAGGGTCTTTGCACCTGATGCAGAAGGTATCGGTTTTGTTCCTCTTCTGTACCTTTCTGTTGTTTGTTTGTACATTGGATGAGGTGGGGTGTTGGGTTTTATTTGTTGATTTTTCTTTACAGAAAATGTTGGTTTTAGATGTTAATTTTTGAGCTGTGTTCTGGATTTAGGATAGTGGCTATTAATGGTTTATGTAGTTCAAGATAATGGGGTGTTGCTTCAAAGCTTGATCCAGCTCTAATAAACTAAGAAGGAAAGTCTACGTATCTTTGATTATAACATGAGCTAATGTTAATTGAAGACTGGTAGTGATACTGCATTGAAGAAAGTAACAAAACTTAGGCTAAGATAAAATTTGTATGCCACATATATATTGAGCTGTTATATTTTGACTCCCCTTTGACATGTGAATTTATAGGAACCAATAAAGGTGTTAGATGTGTATTTCAGAAAGTAAATTTTGTCTTTCTGTGATGTTTCTGTGACAGTTGATCAGCGGAGGTGATGGAACATGGTACAAGAAAATTGCAAGTGCTCTGTAATGCCTGGCTTGTTCTGGAATGCGCTTTCTTTTTACTCCAGAGTAGTCGTAAATCTGTAGGGCATCAATATGTATCTTTTCAGTAGGACAACTGAAGAAGAAACATTGATACTGGTCCTAAAATAGTATAGGATAGCTGTTGTCTTGCTTCTTAGTTAACTGGAATTTTATTACAAGCACTTTGAACTTCCAAATAGACACATCTTAACTGATTATTTTTTTTTCCTCTTGTGTTGTTAATGTAATATATAAAGATGACTTTCCTGAAAGTGTGTTTCTGTAGTTTCAGTGTAAAGTTAGGATTAGGCCTGTTCAAAATTGTATTTGTTGGTATTTTCCACCCAGGGAAGAGCATGTCACTAAAGTGTCTTTGGCTTGTTTCTGCACTGTTGAGTCTAGTTTCATCCTATTACAGGCACTAAGTTACAGTTTTTTAAATTGTGTTTCTGTTTTCATTGGTGCGTATGTCATTTATATATCTGGTATATTGTTGTACTAATCTTGTTTGATACTATGAAAATTTATAACATTAATGTTACATGGGTATTACTGTTACTAATTTTGATATGTTAGGATTTACCACATATCTTCTTACAGTATGTGTGTTTAGAGGTTGAATTCTGTCCTTTGCAGTGTTTTGTTATATATGATAAGCTGGGACTAAAATGCGATGTTTATTTCCTGAATGCTAACAAATCTTGGGAGCCTTAACCATTCAAAAAAAGTTTCTAGATCTTCACACACGCACCCACACACCCCTCCCAGCCTTAAAAGGCTTAAAAGGGGAAATTTAATTGAAATAATGTTTTATTAACATTGGGTGGTTTTGGGTTTTTTCTGATGTTGAATTGCTCATCTACAGGTCTTCCATCAGGTATAAGTGATGTTGTCAAAAGTCCTTTTCAGATGCTCCAACAGCAGATCAGTCTCACAGAAATAATGAATACCAGCCGTTCAGATGCCTCTCAGTTTTTAGAAAATACAGAGGATACAGGGCTACAGGAGCACACAGATGAGAATTGCCTTTACTGTGTCTGCATTCAAATACTGGGTTATCAGTCTAACAACAAAGTAAACTCTTCATATAGTCATACAGGTTAGTGTTCCTTGTGGGGAAGTGTGATAAAACTGAATGACAATATTGAATTTTGTTCATCTCTAAAACTGATGAATCTGTAAGAGTGTGTTTGTTGGGTTGGGGGGGTGTTCTTACTGACTATTGACCTTGAAATTAATTCTTCTTAATAAGCTCACTATGTAACCAATGGTATTTCTGTGGTCGTATTTCTAAAACCTTATCAAAATATAAAATTCAAAACCTTATTTAGTATTTACAAATCAATGTCCTGAAAGCTGAGGTTTATGGTCAAACTAATGAAAAGTCTGACTTCAAAGCAAGTCTGTACCATAAAACAAAACAAAGGAAAGCTGATTGAGGAGTCTGTTGAAGTTGAGCTGTAACTTCTGGGATTTAGTCTTCTTTCTTCATATTTTGAGAATCGGATCAGATTCAGAATTATTTTCTTCCTAACCTTTTCTGCAGAGCTTGCCAGTTACATGCCTTTTTACAATGTCTATAATAAAAAGATAATCCTGTAATAGAAATTCCAATTTTGCTTAGTAGGAATCCTTACCATTTTACAAGTGTTATGCATTCAGGTAGTAACACAAAGAGTACTGCTGGCAAGGGGGATGATGCACAAAATGTGAGGATGCACAAAATGTGAGGAATGGCTGAGAGAGATGAGTTTGAGCTCAAGTTCAGTATTGAGAAGAGATGGCAAATAAAATCCCAATTGTAGTCTTCAATTAGCATGAGGGGATTACAGGTGAGGCAGAGCCAGGCTCTTGTCAGAAGCACAAAGCATGTGCTGTTGGAATAGAAATCCCAGTTAAACATAAGGGGGAAAACTCTTTGCAGTGTGACTTGATCTCATTTTGAAGCGAGCCCTTTGAGCAAGGGGTTGAACTAGGTGATCTCCAGAAGTCACTTCAGACCTATGGTTTTCTGTGGTTCTGTTAACTGCGCAACAATTAAAAGCTTGGATTTTACATTCGTCTCTCTACATCCAAAATGTCAAAGGCTGTAGATAGTGAAACCTCCCAGAAGAATCTTACTTGTCACATCTTTCTGTTGATGAAGTCAGAGCCCTTTCTGCAAGACCTGTGGTAATTGTATGAACAAAAAGCTTGTGCAATGCAAGAGCATCTTTATTATGTTATTGATATATCCATGCTCTATTTTACATGAGCTCCACATGTGATTACAGTTTTATAGGCTTCTGTCAGTACTTAAGACTTGATTATTTTCACTCTAGTATTATAAGACTCAAAAAAAGTTATTTTTAGATGTTTTGAGTATGAATTGTCCAAAATCGAACATCTAGTTTCCAGCTGTTTTATATGCTGATAGTTACCGTACATAATGCATTAGTGTCTTGCATGCTTAACATTGTTTAAAAAATAAGAAAAGCGTTTGAAGTGAGGAAAAGTGTGAATAACAAAGATGCAACATCTTGTTTCTATCAGATTTTTCAGACATTCCATATACTGACTGGTGTGGGCAGACCATACACAGTCACTTAGATGTGCATTCCTCAAAATTTTCTGGAATTTCAAGCTGTAGTGATGCAGTATCCCGTAGTTCAGCTAGCAGCACCAAGAGTACAGAGCTTGTACTTGGTAAGTTTGAAAGCCTTATGATTATTAGAGACTCTTAAAGTATTTTTTCGGTATTGTGGAAAAATAATATTTTATTTATATATACTGCAACAAAGTAATGCTCTTTATTTAAACAAACAAACAAACAACAACAGAAACAACTACTCAAAAAACCCACTTTGGATGCCCTAATCATTATCCAGGAAGGTATCACACAGAATCACAGAATCACTAGGTTGGAAAGGACCTTCAAGACCATCAAGCCCAACCATTAATCCAGCGCCACCGTGTCCCCTAAACCATGACCTGAAGCGCCACATCCACACGTTTTTTGAACACTTCCAGAGATGGTGACGCCACCACCTCCCTGGGCAGCCTGTTCCAATGCCTGACCAGTCGGTGAAGAAATTTTTCCTAATATCCAATCTAAACCTCCCCTGGTGCAACTTGAGGCCATTTCCTCTTGTCCTATCACTAGTTACTTGGGAGAAGAGGCCAACACCCTCGTCTCCACAACCCCCTTTCAGGTAGTTGTAGAGAGCGATAAGGGCTCCTCTCAGCCTCCTCTTCTCCAGACTGAACAACCCCAGTTCCCTCAGCCACTCCTTATAAGACTTGTGCTCCAGCCCCCTCACCAGCTTTGTTGCCCTTCTCTGGACACAGTAGTTGCATTGTCAATGACTATGGTAGATGACATACTTTCAAACTGTTCTGCTTTAGCTTTATGACATTTTTGCAGGTAATGTAAATGCAGCTCTGTATCCAACATTACAATCAAATTGATTGCCTTTTTCTCCCACAGTGGTGTTAGTTTTTAAAAAAAAAATCTTTTAAAAAAATTACTGAATTTCTATAGAGAGAGAGACATTTCTTTTTTAGGCTTGTGTTTTACATTTTGAATTATCATAATTTCTTATGAAGTAGCTGGTTGCTAATTTTGCCAGTATCTGATGCAGTCAGAGCAGGTAATCACCCAGTTTGCAACATGATTTAGTGATAGAGACAGCACTGTAATTGAATCTCACAGATTTTTCTAAATGTCATACGGCATTTATGAAATGCTAGTTTACCTTTTTTAAATATTTCCATGTTAAAATTCATGAAAAGAATGTTTTTGTTTGTTTTAATTTTAATGGGAATATTTATTGGTAGTTCAGAATACATACATACGTACTCGTGTGTGTTATGCTAAAACAGACTTATGTGGCATAAGATTAGCACAATCAAAGACTGTTCTGCTTAAACTCCATACTGTTGAATTTGTTTTTCCAGGAGTAAAATCAATCCCAGATGATACACCAGTGTGCAGAATACTTCTGCGAAAAGAAGTCTTACGTTTAGTAATCAATTTGAGTAGTTCAGTAGGAACTAAGGGCCATGAAACTGGACTCCTGACGTAAGTTAAATACATTTCAGATGTTTTAGCAACATTTAGTTGTATGTATTTTCTAAGATCTCTGAGATAGTGATTCACCTTATTTCTGACTTCTCAAAAAATTGTCAAGCAGGTATTATTGTGGGTTACAGGGGATGACTGAATGTAACATAAAAGCTAAGCAAAGAATTTTCCTTTTAATGTTTGTTCTGTTTTTAATTTCTTAGTCTTCCCCATTATTTTTCAAATCAGTAATTCAACTGTAGTGATGTTTCATTACATATCCATTATGCCATGCATCTTTAAAAAAGAAATTATAATTCTTTTTTGTTATTTGTGCCAAATAATATATATCAGATAACCAGAATAACAATCTGAAAGTAACTTCTTGAGAAACACAAATCTGCTTTAAGCAAGAATTAATTAAAGAATTAAAACTACTGGAATTAATTTATAGAAAAACTCATGTTAAAATATAGGACTATAAATCCAGGGATTACATGTTATAATAAAAAAATGTATGTTTCTGGGCTAGTGATGTTGGAAACTGACATATGACTGCTAAAAGAAAACACAGAGATGCTCAGTTTTAAAAAAGCTTACAGGTAATTAAGTTAGTTTTTCGTATTTTTTATTACTGTACATATGGATGCCTATTCTTTGATATACTGTTCTCTTTCTACATCTGTTATTTTAAGACTAGGTGGTCTCAGAGATTCTGTACAACTTTCAAATTATATATTCTGTTTTGTCTCAATATGGATTTTCGTTTGGTACAAAATAATGCTCTCTCTTCTGATTTTCTTGCTTCGTCAGATCCAGAATGTATAATGCTATTTACTGAAGAGTTCTGCTTTGTTAATGATGACAATCAAAATGTAATTGAACAGTTTTAAAAAATATGATGGAAATCTGTTCAAGACTTTTAAAATTTTGTTTTTCCTGTCAATCAGAATTAAGGAGAAATATCCCCAAGCATTTGATGACATATGCCTTTACTCTGAGGTGTCCTACTTGTTAGCACATTGTACATTTCGACTTCCATCTCGAAGGTTCATTCAGGAGCTATTTCAAGATGTACAGTTCTTACAAGTAAGTGGAGAGTTCAGATGCATTGAATGCACCAAAATGTGCCAACTGGGTGCAGGTTTCATGTTCTGAATGCTTTCAGATATGTCTTAAAGGAAACTATTTTATGATGTCTTTCTAGTAAAAACTCTGACGCAATTAATACTTCATCTGTCTTTTTCTTTTAGATGCATGAAGCAGCAGAGGCTATTAAGCGGCAGAGTCTTTTTTAACAACCCCAACAAACCAGCCAGTAATTGATACATCATCTGAATCCTGACCTCTGTCTCATGCAGTACATTGCATGTAGACTGTCTGAAATCCTCAGACAACCTCCAACTGACTGGATAAAAAGCTTTGGAGCATCATTTCTACACTGTTCCAGAAGCTACTGGTACCTGAAGACTGAACTGAAAACTTTTTCTTCCTTAACCAATTACTGCCTCAGTCTTTTGAGCCCTTTGGGGAATTATTAAACATGACCATAGTTTTAATAATAGTAATTACCAGTATATGCAAGAGCCGAGCACTGAACACCTCCACGAGTTTTCATTTCATTTTTTTTTACCATAAATTAAAAAAAAAAAAAAAAAAAAAAAAGGACAAGATACAGAGGAGATATCTTTTATGATTGACTTCCAATTCTGTTCCAGAGAAGCAGAATGATGCCTTGCTTTTTAGCTCCTGGATACCAGGAATCAAGGGAGATGAGCGTGCATTCCATTGCCAGCAATGGGGAGCCATGCTGTAATCTAGTCACCAGGGGATTAATGTTAGCCCTTCTCTGTTGGTTTTTGTACTGTTTATAACTACCTGGGGGTTTGTAACTTCAGACAGAAAGAAAAGCCTCTGTGAATCTGAGGTTTCCTTTAAGTTATTTTAATATTACTATAGTTGTAAGTAATTTTATTAGCAGTCTCTCCAATTTCATTACACTTATGTACATGTATCTTATCTGAACTAGTTAAGGATTTTCACTACAGTTTGATTTTAAAAATAACAAATCATTTAAACTTAAAATGCAGAAATCTGATTGTTTTCCCTGAATGATATGCATGTGTTTGCAGTTTCTATACTCATGCTCATCTAGTATGAATGTTGATCTTAACGAAAAACCTTTAAAAAGCATGATTTGTATCAGATAAATGAATATTGTATAAACTAAACTTGAAGATGTTTAATCATTGCTGCTTTTGTGAGAAGATGTAATTTTGTGAGCGTTTTCCAAGCTCCATGGAAACAGCCTTTTATAAAAACAAAGGTTTGATTTGAATTTTCAATGGATTAGTGATCAAGCATCAGATAGTACTAATAATTGTAGTGAAAAGCCTTAAGTAGCAAATTTTGAAGCAACAGTAATTATAATTTTATATTGGTATTTTAGACTTGTTGCAAAGGTTACATGATACAGTGACTGTTTAATGACTGAAATAGTTGTCTGTCATGTTACTAGTTGAGGTTTCTAAGTTAATGAGTGCAAGCTTAAAAAGAAAAAGTAAGAATCCCTGTTAATTTTATCATGGATATAAAGATTCAGAAGCCTTTATAAGAAGGTAATATAAATATATGCAAATATATATACACACACAGTAGAAAGGCCACCTTTGTTAGAATGCCTGTAACAGAAGGGATTACCCTTTGATTTTGATATAGGTGAATAGTTCAGCTGGACTGTACTAAGGTAGAACATATTTTTATCCATTCACTTTTACAATTTTTTTTATAATTGTCTGATTAATACTTAAGATAAGTGAAATATATCCTGACACTCATAACCCTGTTCTTCCTGGCTACGCTACTGGAGATTTCAGTAAGTAGTCCTGTGAACAGTAAAACACGATTCCTAGTGAAATGTGGAATTTATTTGCTCTTATTGGAAACTTCATCTTGCCACGTAAGCACTGCTTTGCAGCTGTCACTTCACTGAGTTCTTATGTGCACTGCATACCATGAGGTTCTGGTAAAGCAGATCTATAAGTTGCTGCTCATAATCAAATTTAGTTCCTGAGTTTATCTTTTCATGAGTTCCCACTGAAAGAAGGAGCATAAAGAAACTGATTCAACTCTTTTATTGTCAGTGACACAAATAATATATCTGTGTGTCAAGGCATGTTTGAAATGCTCTGAAAACACCACACCAGTGACTAATTGGACTTCTCTGGTCATAAGAAATAAATGCTTCTGTAAAACCAAAATGTCAATCACAGTGGACCAAACAGTGGTATAAACTCCAAAGGACATAATGTAGTTTTCCCAAAAATGGGGCTAGCATATCTCATACAGTAGTTTCAAACACTACCTCAGTTAGGCTAGAGTATGAGAGATTTGTTTTAATAACTAGATGGGGTTACATCAAACAACTCCATGTTATTTTTCTGCAGTTAAAGCAAAATAAATAAATTTTATCACCTGTATTTAAAAACAAAAACACCTTTGTTCATTTGTTACCAGTTTAATCCATAGCACTTAATGTAGAAAGTGCCATAGGAAGGCCTCTGATTATTAAAAAAAGTAAGCAAAAGTGATGCCAATATACTTTTGAAAGACTCTCCATCCTGAAATGCTTATGTGTTCTGAAGTACTCGCTTGTGTTGGGGATCCATGACAACAGAAACTTATGTATGAATTATTGCTGCAAATTCAGTTATAAAACATATTTTTTTTCCTGAAAATGTATGAGTGTCAGTCAATTTCAACAAGTATGCATCAAGGATGTAAAGTCTGTACTGTACATAACATACAACATTTCTAGAATGAATTTACATATTTACACATTAAGTTCACATGACTTTCATTTTAATTGACAAATGAAGGGATACTGTTTATTGAAGGAATTTGATATTGGCCTAGTTATAAACTGTGAATTTCTAATTCTATCAGTTTCTTTTTTTAAAATATCCTGTTCAAAGTTCTTATTTTGGGGTTTTATTTGCTTCATGAACTTCAAAAGAAAACAGTAGTAAATAAAAGTTGTGCTTATATTAACTCTAACAAAGAATCCTTCCACTTCCCCTAGAAAGGGTAGCAAGGGGAACTGACAGACCACCAGCTTTGTGTTTTTGCAGTTGTAACTATTTGTGATACTGTCCAACAAATGATAAAGCATATAGCATTCATTTACACTATCTACAAATACAGTTTGGTTGCTGTGGCAAAGAAAACTCCTGAATGATTAAACATGATAACACAAAATACTCAAACTGCTCTGAGGCAAAAGCCTTTCTGGGAAGGAGAGGCTGGCTGTGAAACCAATTGCATTTAGTCTACTAAATTAGCTGGCTAATTTTCTTTGTCTGCTTTTGCAGTCAGTGGAAAGGGATAGCCCTTTCCAAAGGGCAGAGAGCTAACTAAAGGGCTCCCAATTATGTCCCTAAGGGCCTGTTTCTCTCCACTGAGTGGAGAGGAGGACAAAGCTGAGTGCTGTGAGTGTCCTTTTGGAGAGAGAGACCTTTTCAGCTGTCTGAAATTGAGATGCAGAATGCTCCCAGTTGTCATGGACATCACTCAGGGCTGGAGATGGTCAGGCTTTGAGGTGCCCAACTTGCATGTTGGGCCCTTGGCATGTTGTATTTGAAACAGTCACATTTCCTCATCTGACAGTTCTTATTTGACCTGACACATGTACCCTAAATGTGCTCTCATTGGGTGGTGGTGGTGTGTTTTCCTGAGACACAACGAAGTGCTAAAGTATTCAGTAGTTTAGGGCCACAGTGGCTTGGCACACTGAAGTAAGCTGCTCTTATAAACATTTTAAAAGGCAGCAGTGAGAATACCGCTCATCTTTTTGTCATTTTATTTCAAAACATATCTACTGGTCTTGAACAAGAGAGTTGTAATTTGCAGTGAGAAGCTGAAAAAAAAACTATAGTACCTTTACTAGGTGCCTGAAGAGAAAGATAGCTATTTGAGAAATAGGTAATAATCAAAGCCTAGTGAGAGATGAAAGAGTTGTTGCTGCTGCTTAGTCTATGTCCTGGTCTTGGTATTTGGTGCTTTGGACTTCAGGAAACTGGTGTTACCTTGTAAGTGTGAGCTCAAGCTGAGCAATCGCAGTGGAAGAATTCTTGCCAGGCTTCGGAGCATCTCTGAGGTTTCTGCTTGCCTCCTGGCAGGGCTGCGCAGAAGTTGTGTTTTTTGGGGCTTTGTGGAGCCAGTTGAAAGCAATTCCCCTAACTTTTTTTTTTTTAGTTACACTTCTATTATCATGTGCTTATTAAAGGTATATTAGGTGAGAGTAAAATCTGAGAACTATAAAAGACCTTTGGGGACATGCTAGAAACCATGTTTGTATTTTGCTAAAGACCCCCATTTCTTTGGTTTTTGTTTAACTCCTGATTCTGGTTCCCTGGATAGTTTTATTTTCAACAGATTTGTATGTTCAGTAAAGAATGTGGATTTTTTTGGGACTATTTTTGTAACATAGGTGGACAGCAATGCTACAGCATGCAGAAATTGCACATTTTGCTTGAATTGCTTTGTAAAATATACTATTTTATTGGAGAAATGTAATTTATGCCAAAAAGTGTAACAGCATGCCATTTTGCTGCTGAATAAGGTGTTTTAGCACAAGATGCGATGTTGGGGGGGGGGAGGCAGGCAGATGTCTTTTAGATTTAATTGAAAAATTTCTCCAGTACTGGGCTGTCAGCATCCCTAAAACTGCATTACAAGAGATTATCTAAATTAATCATTCTGAGGAGGGAAGAGATCGAGGAAAATCTCAAGACTTATTCTCCCTGTCCCGTGTGGACTACTTTTTTTTAATTTAGTAACGTGCTGCTACGTATTTGGAGGTTCTAGTTGTTGTAGGTCACTGAACAGACATTGAAATCTGATTTATATTGTATACCTGTAATATAGAAAAAAAAAAGTATTTATATATTTTCCAAAAGAATATTGTATTGACCTGTGCATAATTTAAACAGAGGCTTGTCCCAAAGTGGTATTGCCTGCCTTGATTTTTTTGTGTGTGTGGTTTTTTCCTTTTTTTTAATATAGCGTGTACAGTTCATTTCTATGGGCATTAAAAGCCTTCTGAAGCGTAATCTTATCAAAGGGATGCATTGTTAATAAAATGTATTTAACTTCTTCAAGTTGTTCTGCTCTCATATGTACCTCAGCACTAGAAATGGGTTGGAATTTTATTTATAAGTTACTTATTAACTAGAACAACCTGAAGCTTTTGAAATAAACATTTTTTTTTTTGGTCAAAAATATATTTTACATTAATGCTTTGTAAGTTGTCTAATAAAAATAGTTTCATAGTTTGTACACCATTTT